TTGGGTGGATGGAATAATCAAGTAAATGTTGATGGAATTTGTTAGTGACCATTAGGGCAGGAAAGTGCTGAGTAAGTTCCTGCGTGTGTTATAATAGCAGCTGTAATTGAACTGGTGAACAAGTATAACTCTGCACGTCGTTTGTATTCCAGATGTGGTGAACAAATACAGCAACTTTGTCGGATTTCCGATCTACCTGAATGGACGCCGATTGAATACACTTCAGGTTAGTAAATGATGAGGACTCTTTATCCAGTTTGAATAGAAAGTAGACTGTCAATAAATTTGGAGCTGGAAAAGCACAGCCGGTCAGACAGCATCCGAGGAGCGGTCAATGTTTCGGGTCGAAACTCTTCATCAGGCCTGGGGAGCGGGGTGGAAGCAGCCCAGAAATAAACAGAGGGTGGGGGCTCGGGGTGGGGGCAGAGGCAGAATAGGTGAGATGGAGATAGGTGGATGCGGCTAGGAGGTTATTCTGGTTGGTCAGTGGGAAGGGTGGAGTGGACAGGTTAGTAAGAAGATGGACAGGTTGGGAATGGAGAGATTTTGAAGCTGGTGAAGTCCAGTTCTGAGGAAGGGTCACCGGACCTGAAATGTTAACTCTAACTTTTTCTTCACAGATGCTGCCAGATCTGCTGAGCTTTTCCAGCAACTTCTGTTTTTGTTCCTGATTTACAGCATCTACAGTTCTTTCAGTTTTTATCTGGTGAAGTCAACATTCAGGCCGTTGGGCTGTACACTGTCAAGCGAAATATGAGGTGTTGTTCCTCCAGTTTATGTTTGTCCTCACTCTGACAATGGAGGAGGCCAAGGGTGGACATGTCACCAAGGGAGTGGGAGGGGGAGTTAAAGTGGATGGCAACTGGAAGGATCTTGGGTAGGAGATAGAAATGGGCGGTACAGGGTTGGAGAACTACCTCCTACTCAAGATCCATAAACCCAACTGCCCTGGTCGACCCATTTTCTCTGCCCACTCCTGCCCCCCACGCTCTTCTCCTCCTACTTCGACTCAGTTCTTTCCCCTTTGGTCAAGGAACTCGCCACCTACGTTCGGGACACAACCCACATCCTCCACCTTTTCCAAAACTTTCAATTCCCCAGTCCCCAACAACTCCTCTTGACCATGGAATTCAGACGCTGTGGACCTGCATCCCTTATGAGGATGGCCTAAAAGTCCTCCGCTTTGTCCTCTCCTGTAGGCCCACCCAGTTCCCCTCCACTGATAATTTCATTCACTTGGCGGAATTGGTTCTCACTCTCAACAATTTCTCCCTTGAGTCCTCCCACTTCCTACAAACCAAAGGGGTGGCTATGGGCACCCACATGGGCCCGAGCTATGCCTGCCTCTTTGTAGGATTCGTGGGACAGTCCCTCTTCAACAACTACACTGGCACCATCCCCTACATCTTCCTCTGCTATATTGATGACTATACAGGTGCTGCCTCGTGCTCCCACGAGGAGCTTGGAACAGTTCATCAACCTCACCAACACCTTCCGCTGCGCCCTCAGATTCACCCGGACCATTTCTAACACCTCCCTCCTCTTCCTGGACCTCTCCATCTCCATCTCCAGTAACTGACTCACCACTGACATCCATTTCAAACTACTGACTCCTCCTCACCCACTCCCTTGCAAAAAATTCTATCCCATACTCTCAATTCCTCTGCTGCATCTGCTCCCAGGGTAAGACATTCTACTCTAGGACCTGCCAGATATCCTCCTCCTTTAGAGACCATAGTTTCTCCCCCTCTGTTATTAAGGATGCCCTCAACTGCATCTCCCCCATTTCCTGTGCTTCTGCCCTCAAACCCTCTTCCCCATCAACAACAATAAGGACAGAGTCCCCTTGGTCGTCACATACCCCCCCCCCCACCAACTTGCAAATGCAATGCATTGTCCTTTGACATTTCTGCTACTAACAATCAGACCCCGCCACCAAAAAAATATTTCCCTCCCCACCCCTGTCTGCTTTCTACAGGGACTGTTCACTTCGCAAATCCCTTGTCAGCTCCACACTCCCCACCAACCCTCTCCACCACACCCGGTACCTTTCCCTGCAACCGCAGGAGGTGCTACACCTGCCCCTACACCTCCCCTTTCACCTCCATCCGAGGCCCCAAACAATCCTTACAGATCTGGCGGAGATTCACCTGCACTTTACCTAACCTCACTTACTGTATCTGTTGCTCCCGATGTGGTCTCCTCTATATCAGGGAGACCTAACACAAACTCCAGGACCGGTTTGTGGAGCATCTGCGCTCTGCACGCACCAACCAACCAGACCTTCTGGTTGCCGCCCACTTTAACTCCCTTGGTGACTTGTCTATCCTTGACTGCCTCCTCTGTTGGAGTGAGCTCAAACGTAAACTGGACGAATAACCCCTCACATTTCGCCTTACAGCCCAATGGCGTGAATATTGACTTCACCAGCTTCAAAATCTCTCCTCCCCCAACCTGTCCATCTTCCTACTCACCTATCCACTTCGCCCTTCCCACTGACCAACCACAATACCCACTACCTGCATTCACCTGTCTCCATCTCATCTATCCTTCTGTCACCCCCACCCTCCTCCCTGTGTTTATTTCTGGGCTCCCGTCCCCCTCCCTAGTCCTGATGAAGGCTTTCAGCCTGAAACATTGACTTTCCTGCTCCTCGGATGCTGTCTGACCAGCTGTGCTTTTTGTGTTCCACATTTATTGACTAGTTTCCAGCATCTGCTGTCCTTACTGTCTACAGAAAGCAGACTGTGCTGTATGGAGCAGTGGAGGATTTTGTGAAGCAGACTTTGCTGTTGAATCAGATGAGAGAATGCCAGGCTGATTTACAAAATTGGCAGTACTGTTGGGCTGTAAACATTAACCCCAGTGGGATGTGTTAGAGATTGGCCAATGAGTTGGAGTCAGTGACTAATTGACATAGTTAATTTGGGGCTTCAGTTTTTGGAATTTATTACTGGAGGATTGGCCTGACTAATGGATTTACTTGGTCGATTAATTTGAGAAAATGATTTCCACTAAGGCTCTGTGGATGATGGATCCAAAGGAGATCAGTGAATGGCAGCATGAGGAATTCTACCGCTATGTTGCGAAGGCATATGACAAACCACGGTACATCCTCCACTATCGCACCGATGCGCCACTCAACATTCGCAGCATCTTCTATGTGCCAGACATGGTGAGTGTTGTTATTTTGGGTGGCTCTTGTCTTTGATTTAATTTACTGTAATCACATGTATCTAAGTATAGTGACAGCAGGCAGATCATAGCAAACAAGGACGTACAGATAATAGGGTGCTTAGACAGAGCAAGGCATACAGGTTACACTGCACAGGAGGTGCGCAAAGCAAGATCACCATTGTTTGAAGCTAGAGAGTCCATTCATCAGTCTAATGATGGCAGGAAAGAAGTTGTTCTAGAACTGGTTATAAATTTCTTCTTCTGTCCAGCAAAGACAGCGCAGAGCTGGTTAGTTATCTAAAACTGCTGTTCATTACAGCATATTCAAGTCTGTTGGCAATGTATATGGCAAAAATGAAAAGCTTGCATTTTAATAACATCCTTAAACTCAAATGTGCCAAAGTACGTTATTGTCAATGCAGCCCTTTCTGCTGTAATGTAGGAAACACTGCTAATTTGCATAAAACAAAAATCCCACAAACAGCAATGTAGTAATTACCAGATACTATTTAATGACTGTGGCTGAGGACAAATATTGCCGAGGATAATGGGGACAAAGCCTCCTTATTCTTTGAATATGCCACATAGGATTTTATGCACCACCAATACAGCCTGCATTCCCTCTGTGTTGCCTGGATATGGAGATTATTTATGGAAAAAGAAACAAATTGAGCAGTTATTTTAGCAGATTTTAATGACTGCCAAATAAGCTAGCATGAAGAAGTTAGGCAAGGATTGGATTGGGGTTGGTATCGAAGATTGGGGTTGCAATGTCCATGGGCGGAGGGGAAGGCCTTGTTCATGGTTGGTGGTGGACAGAGAGAAACAGCAAGTGAAGGGGAAGAGAAGATCGGGGATGTGTGGAGTCCTCCGTCAAGGGTGCCAGAAGGTGCAGGGTTGGATGGGGGGGCGCCAGGGTGTGGGGATGGTATCTGGGGTTGGGGAATGCATTATCTAGGGCTGAGGGTAAACCGAATGTTCGGGGTTGGCGTTATGGTGTCAAGGACTGGGGGTTACATTTATGATCCTTTTAGATATTTTTCTCTGGTTATGTAGAAGCCGAGTATGTTTGATGTGAGCAGAGAGTTGGGGTCCAGTGTGGCATTGTACAGCCGGAAAGTGTTGATTCAAACTAAAGCCACCGACATCCTACCCAAGTGGCTCCGATTTCTACGTGGTGAGTGTTGTGCATTTGATACCTTGTCCGATCCATTACTAGAGTCTAAGTTTCAGCTACTGTTCATTGAATGTCCCAGTCAGAGCAACATTATTACCAACTTGCTATCTGCCTGCCTCTTTATCCTTCAACCCAACGTTGTGTTATCTACCTTTCTCGTCTGAGATTAGGTCATCGATACTGCAAGTCACATCTTCACATATGTATCTTGGAGTGCAAGCATCGTAATTTTCATACCATGGAACGAATCATTGCAAAGCATGGATTACAGGGAGGTGCATAAACTTTGGCTTTCCGGGGATTTCCCTTCATCCCAGGACCATCACTGAAGAATTTACCGTGACCTCTAGAGATTTCCTCAGACCCTCACTGGGATTTTAATTCTTTGCCAGGATCTTGAGTACGGGTGGAAATTTTTGTTGATGTTTGAGCAATATCATGCCTGCTGATGACTGTTTTCCATCCTTCTAAATATTCTACCCAACAGCTTCCCTCCCCTTCTCATTTATTCCTTTCAGTAATCTAGGTGCCAGTCTGTGGTCTAAAACCAACAAATAAAAAGTCCAAAGATAATGGGAACTGCCGATGCTGGAGAATCTGAGATAACAAAGTGTAGAGCTGGATGAACACAGCAGGCCAAGCAGCATCAGAGGAGCAGGAAAGCTGAGTTTCGGGTCTAGACCCTTCTTCAGAAAATTTCTGAAGAAGGGTCTAGACCCGAAACGTCAGCTTTCCTGCTGCTTGGCCTGCTG